TGTCTTCAAAATTGGGTGACAACCTCCACATTCTCAGGAAGCACTGTCGAAGACCACTTCGCTTTGAGCCGTCTTCGCTTTGAGCCGTCTTCAAAATTGGGTAACAACTTCCGCATTCACAGGGAGCGCTGTCGAACACCACTTCGCTTTGAGCCGTCTTCAAAATTGAGTGACAACCTCCGCATTCTCAGGGAGTGTTGTTGAAGACCACTTTGCTTTGAGCCGTCTTCAAAATTGGGTGACAACCTCCGCATTCTCAGGGAGCGCTGTCAAAGACCACTTCTGTTTCGGGGTTTATTGGATGTCCTGCGGGAGACTTACAATACCAAGATTGACCTCAGGACGTCTGTACCTGCAAAATAACGGAGACTCGTGTGGGAGGGAGTTCCGCCTCCGACAATCAAGTTAGAACGTGTCTGGATGTAAAAAGTGCGAAAAGTAAAAGGGGATCAGGCTCCTCTAGGAAGGGGGAGTGATCATCTGACTGCCTGAGACAGTCTCGATATCCGAGCCTTATGTCACGGGTCATCTCCCACACCAAGGATGGGCGTCAAGAGGGTCACTAGGCAGCAAGGCAACAATCGGGGCTAGGGGGCTTGCCTTGGTGCTCAGGTAAGCACTTCCCCCTAAAGAGCTTTATATTGCACCTTGCTTAGAATCCTAGTGAACACCCACTTGACAGTAACACAATAATGGGTCGTTTGGAGACCCAAATGAAGTCCAAATGGGCCCAAATTCGGGGGTCCACAGTATTTTGGGCCAAGGAAGACGATGATGGTGTCAGTTTTCCAAGACAAGGTCCCGAAATACGAGTTTTGGCAGCAGGTAGTCCGGAAAACGCGAGATGCTTCTAGAAGGTTCCGGAGCTATCTACAAGGTTCTTTTGAAGGAGTATTCTAGAGGGAATGTCTCTAGAATATTCAAGGGTTTTCATGTACATAGTAGAAGTGTCTAGGGTCTTCTATCCATGTGCATAAGTGTTGTACGCTCTAGAATGTTCTAGGGTTGTCTTGAACATTCTAGCTAGGGAAGGATGTAGAAACCTCCATGTAGGTAGTTCCTAAGGAGGTGGGAACACTCTAGATGTTGTAAGTCTAGAACCCTCCATTTGAGGAGGTTAGGAATTTTCTAGAGAAGCATGTAAGTAGGATGGAGCACTATAAATAGGCTCCAAGGCTCATTTGTACATTCAAGTTGAGAGATCAACAAGTTAAGAGCTATAAGTTGTGAGCAATACAAAAAGCCTTTCTTAAGCACTTGTGTTCTCTTGCAACTCAATCCTTTCCTTCCAACACTTAGAGAGTGTGAGGAAAACTAAGGCACGAGGGTGCCAAGTGAGTGATCGGGCATACCAGCAAGGGTGGTAGCTTGGGTGCTCAATTGTCTACGACACTTAGTCGTAAATTCGGACTAAGGCACTAAGGGTGAGTGCTTAGTTCAACTGAAGGGGACTTGTTAGCACAAAGGGATCGTGCTAGCAAACTTATACTAGCAGCACAAGGAGTTGTGCTACGTGGGCACAAGGAGTAAATGCCAAGGAGAAAGCCTGACTCGTCTTACAACGGACTGTAAGCGGGTGGCGCACGGTGCGTGACTAGGGCAAAGTAGTCGGCACGTGACAGGTGGTATCAGAGCAAGGCTACGATTGTCGTGTGGGATCGGCATCGTAAATTCAAGGCGTTGCTGTTGGAGCTACGAAAGGACGGTAGCTAGGCAACAAGGTAAGTCGCTTCATTCTTATTGTGGAAATAAGTATGGCTGGCGACAAAGAAGTTCCGGCGAGCCAAGTTTTTCAAGGGGAAGAGGAGACAACAAGGAGGTCCAAGAAGAAGGGAACGAGGGACCCGTCGAGGGACCCATCGGTATCCAGAACCTTGACCTCTGAGTTGGAACCCCGCCTCATGAAGGTAGAGTGTACTGTGGCGAACATGCACGATGATATCACACAACTCTCGGACTCCGTGGAGGGGCTCGAAGGAAAAGTGGAGGCCGCACACACTGCTACCCAAGATTTGAGGGACGAGACTCTTGGGCTCGTCAATAGCGCGTTGGCAACAATTCGCGAAGAGGTCGCGAAACTCAAAGAAGAGTTGCTTGGGCAACTAAGGGACATCCGAGCTGAGGTGGAGTCGGTGAAGGAGGATGTCATTTTATGTAAGAAGGCAGCAGTGACCGGGAGTGTCACTATCCAACAGGGGCCAAAGATGGAGGTCCCAAAGCCACAAAAATACCATGGGAAGCGAGATGCTCGAGAAATAGACAACTTCCTATGGGGCGTCGAGAGGTACTTCGACGCAATGAAGATGGATGACGATGCATCAAAGATCAATACCGCCACAATGTACTTGGGCGAGGATGCTGTCCTTTGGTGGAGGCGTCGAGAGTTGGACATCAAGAAGGGGACTTGTTCCATCAGCACATGGGACGAGTTCAAGAAAGATTTCAAGCGTCAGTTCTACCCGGAGAATGCCAAGAAGGTCTCCATGATGAAGCTACGTGACTTAAAGCACACTAGCACAATCAAGGAGTACATCAGGCAATTCACATCCCTCATGCTTGAGATCGATGATTTATCGGAGGTGAACCAACTCATTTACTTCACCGGAGGTTTACAACGATGGGCCCAGCAAGAGGTGGAAAGACGGAATGTTAAGACACTTGCTGAGGCAATAGCCGTGGCGGAGTCCTTGATCGAGATCCCGAGGGAATCAAGAAAGGACAGGGGCAAAAGGGTCGAGGAAGGTGACCAAGAGGAAGAAGAGGCATCGCGTCCAAAGGCTAGGTATGCGGATCATGGCAAGGACAAGGCCAAGTCCAAGTGGGAGTCAAAGGGAGACAACCGAGACGGAGGTAAGCCCTCAAAGCCGTTCAAATGTTTCCTGTGTGAGGGTGCTCACCTAGCGAGAAATTGCCCGATGCGGCAAAAATTAAGTGCCATGATCGCAACGGAGGAGGAGTCCGCACCCACAACGAGGATGGGGGCAATGGTCATGAGCGAGGACGCCCAGCTCGCCAATATGAGGCTCCTCAACACTTCAAGGGTCGAAGATGATGACCTCAAGGAAAGGGCATCTTCGACAAGCAGCACTACGAACATCAAGCAAGGAGGAAGCTTGATGATCGTAAACGGGGAAGTGAACGAGGTACCGACGAGGCTACTTGTGGACACGGGAGCGTCGCACAACTTCTTGGCTAAGGAGGAAGCCAAAGCCTTAGGGGTGAAGTTCACTAAAGTGGATGGCGAGATGAAGGCCATCAATTCAGAGGCCACGCCGGTGTATGGAAGGGCGTGGGGAGTTCCAGTCCGCTTGGGGAAGTGGAAGGGAAAAGTCGACTTCTTGGTGGTCGACATTGATGATGAGGACGTGGTGCTAGGCATGGAGTTCTTGCACAAGGTCCTACCTTTTCGGGTAAGTGATGGCATGATAACCATCACATCAAAGGGGAGCGAGATAGGGATCAAGCTCGCTCAACTCAAGGAGCGGGACGTGAGGGTCTCGACCTTGAAAGCTTGGTGGGCGCCAAGGCAAAGGCGTCAAGGTGCGATCCATGGGAAGATCAAGGCAACAAAGATGCTAGGGACAAGACATCATGGTGTTCCAAGGGATGGGACAACAAGGCACAAGTGTGGAGTCAACAGGAGGGACGGGGCAGCGGCGCACAGAAGCACCCAAGGGACAAGTGGTGCACTAGACCGGGTCGCGGGCACGTACTCCAAGGGGCGATCTTGCCGAGGTCGGCAAGAATTTGGGTGGGGGAGAATGTCACGGGTCATCTCCCACACCAAGGATGGGCGTCAAGAGGGTCACTAGGCAGCAAGGCAACAATCGGGGCTAGGGGGCTTGCCTTGGTGCTCAGGTAAGCACTTCCCCCTAAAGAGCTTTATATTGCACCTTGCTTAGAATCCTAGTGAACACCCACTTGACAGTAACACAATAATGGGTCGTTTGGAGACCCAAATGAAGTCCAAATGGGCCCAAATTCGGGGGTCCACAGTATTTTGGGCCAAGGAAGACGATGGTGGTGTCAGTTTTCCAAGACAAGGTCCCGAAATACGAGTTTTGGCAGCAGGTAGTCCGGAAAACGCGAGATGCTTCTAGAAGGTTCCGGAGCTATCTACAAGGTTCTTTTGAAGGAGTATTCTAGAGGGAATGTCTCTAGAATATTCAAGGGTTTTCATGTACATAGTAGAAGTGTCTAGGGTCTTCTATCCATGTGCATAAGTGTTGTACGCTCTAGAATGTTCTAGGGTTGTCTTGAACATTCTAGCTAGGGAAGGATGTAGAAACCTCCATGTAGGTAGTTCCTAAGGAGGTGGGAACACTCTAGATGTTGTAAGTCTAGAACCCTCCATTTGAGGAGGTTAGGAATTTTCTAGAGAAGCATGTAAGTAGGATGGAGCACTATAAATAGGCTCCAAGGCTCATTTGTACATTCAAGTTGAGAGATCAACAAGTTAAGAGCTATAAGTTGTGAGCAATACAAAAAGCCTTTCTTAAGCACTTGTGTTCTCTTGCAACTCAATCCTTTCCTTCCAACACTTAGAGAGTGTGAGGAAAACTAAGGCACGAGGGTGCCAAGTGAGTGATCGGGCATACCAGCAAGGGTGGTAGCTTGGGTGCTCAATTGTCTACGACACTTAGTCGTAAATTCGGACTAAGGCACTAAGGGTGAGTGCTTAGTTCAACTGAAGGGGACTTGTTAGCACAAAGGGATCGTGCTAGCAAACTTATACTAGCAGCACAAGGAGTTGTGCTACGTGGGCACAAGGAGTAAATGCCAAGGAGAAAGCCTGACTCGTCTTACAACGGACTGTAAGCGGGTGGCGCACGGTGCGTGACTAGGGCAAAGTAGTCGGCACGTGACAGGTGGTATCAGAGCAAGGCTACGATTGTCGTGTGGGATCGGCATCGTAAATTCAAGGCGTTGCTGTTGGAGCTACGAAAGGACGGTAGCTAGGCAACAAGGTAAGTCGCTTCATTCTTATTGTGGAAATAAGTATGGCTGGCGACAAAGAAGTTCCGGCAAGCCAAGTTTTTCAAGGGGAAGAGGAGACAACAAGGAGGTCCAAGAAGAAGGGAACGAGGGACCCATCGAGGGACCCATCGGTATCCAGAACCTTGACCTCTGAGTTGGAACCCCGCCTCATGAAGGTAGAGTGTACTGTGGCGAACATGCACGATGATATCACACAACTCTCGGACTCCGTGGAGGGGCTCGAAGGAAAAGTGGAGGCCGCACACACTGCTACCCAAGATTTGAGGGACGAGACTCTTGGGCTCGTCAATAGCGCGTTGGCAACAATTCGCGAAGAGGTCGCGAAACTCAAAGAAGAGTTGCTTGGGCAACTAAGGGACATCCGAGCTGAGGTGGAGTCGGTGAAGGAGGATGTCATTTTATGTAAGAAGGCAGCAGTGACCGGGAGTGTCACTATCCAACAGGGGCCAAAGATGGAGGTCCCAAAGCCACAAAAATACCATGGGAAGCGAGATGCTCGAGAAATAGACAACTTCCTATGGGGCGTCGAGAGGTACTTCGACGCAATGAAGATGGATGACGATGCATCAAAGATCAATACCGCCACAATGTACTTGGGCGAGGATGCTGTCCTTTGGTGGAGGCGTCGAGAGTTGGACATCAAGAAGGGGACTTGTTCCATCAGCACATGGGACGAGTTCAAGAAAGATTTCAAGCGTCAGTTCTACCCGGAGAATGCCAAGAAGGTCTCCATGATGAAGCTACGTGACTTAAAGCACACTAGCACAATCAAGGAGTACATCAGGCAATTCACATCCCTCATGCTTGAGATCGATGATTTATCGGAGGTGAACCAACTCATTTACTTCACCGGAGGTTTACAACGATGGGCCCAGCAAGAGGTGGAAAGACGGAATGTTAAGACACTTGCTGAGGCAATAGCCGTGGCGGAGTCCTTGATCGAGATCCCGAGGGAATCAAGAAAGGACAGGGGCAAAAGGGTCGAGGAAGGTGACCAAGAGGAAGAAGAGGCATCGCGTCCAAAGGCTAGGTATGCGGATCATGGCAAGGACAAGGCCAAGTCCAAGTGGGAGTCAAAGGGAGACAACCGAGACGGAGGTAAGCCCTCAAAGCCGTTCAAATGTTTCCTGTGTGAGGGTGCTCACCTAGCGAGAAATTGCCCGATGCGGCAAAAATTAAGTGCCATGATCGCAACGGAGGAGGAGTCCGCACCCACAACGAGGATGGGGGCAATGGTCATGAGCGAGGACGCCCAGCTCGCCAATATGAGGCTCCTCAACACTTCAAGGGTCGAAGATGATGACCTCAAGGAAAGGGCATCTTCGACAAGCAGCACTACGAACATCAAGCAAGGAGGAAGCTTGATGATCGTAAACGGGGAAGTGAACGAGGTACCGACGAGGCTACTTGTGGACACGGGAGCGTCGCACAACTTCTTGGCTAAGGAGGAAGCCAAAGCCTTAGGGGTGAAGTTCACTAAAGTGGATGGCGAGATGAAGGCCATCAATTCAGAGGCCACGCCGGTGTATGGAAGGGCGTGGGGAGTTCCAGTCCGCTTGGGGAAGTGGAAGGGAAAAGTCGACTTCTTGGTGGTCGACATTGATGATGAGGACGTGGTGCTAGGCATGGAGTTCTTGCACAAGGTCCTACCTTTTCGGGTAAGTGATGGCATGATAACCATCACATCAAAGGGGAGCGAGATAGGGATCAAGCTCGCTCAACTCAAGGAGCGGGACGTGAGGGTCTCGACCTTGAAAGCTTGGTGGGCGCCAAGGCAAAGGCGTCAAGGTGCGATCCATGGGAAGATCAAGGCAACAAAGATGCTAGGGACAAGACATCATGGTGTTCCAAGGGATGGGACAACAAGGCACAAGTGTGGAGTCAACAGGAGGGACGGGGCAGCGGCGCACAGAAGCACCCAAGGGACAAGTGGTGCACTAGACCGGGTCGCGGGCACGTACTCCAAGGGGCGATCTTGCCGAGGTCGGCAAGAATTTGGGTGGGGGAGAATGTCACGGGTCATCTCCCACACCAAGGATGGGCGTCAAGAGGGTCACTAGGCAGCAAGGCAACAATCGGGGCTAGGGGGCTTGCCTTGGTGCTCAGGTAAGCACTTCCCCCTAAAGAGCTTTATATTGCACCTTGCTTAGAATCCTAGTGAACACCCACTTGACAGTAACACAATAATGGGTCGTTTGGAGACCCAAATGAAGTCCAAATGGGCCCAAATTCGGGGGTCCACAGTATTTTGGGCCAAGGAAGACGATGGTGGTGTCAGTTTTCCAAGACAAGGTCCCGAAATACGAGTTTTGGCAGCAGGTAGTCCGGAAAACGCGAGATGCTTCTAGAAGGTTCCGGAGCTATCTACAAGGTTCTTTTGAAGGAGTATTCTAGAGGGAATGTCTCTAGAATATTCAAGGGTTTTCATGTACATAGTAGAAGTGTCTAGGGTCTTCTATCCATGTGCATAAGTGTTGTACGCTCTAGAATGTTCTAGGGTTGTCTTGAACATTCTAGCTAGGGAAGGATGTAGAAACCTCCATGTAGGTAGTTCCTAAGGAGGTGGGAACACTCTAGATGTTGTAAGTCTAGAACCCTCCATTTGAGGAGGTTAGGAATTTTCTAGAGAAGCATGTAAGTAGGATGGAGCACTATAAATAGGCTCTAAGGCTCATTTGTACATTCAAGTTGAGAGATCAACAAGTTAAGAGCTATAAGTTGTGAGCAATACAAAAAGCCTTTCTTAAGCACTTGTGTTCTCTTGCAACTCAATCCTTTCCTTCCAACACTTAGAGAGTGTGAGGAAAACTAAGGCACGAGGGTGCCAAGTGAGTGATCGGGCATACCAGCAAGGGTGGTAGCTTGGGTGCTCAATTGTCTACGACACTTAGTCGTAAATTCGGACTAAGGCACTAAGGGTGAGTGCTTAGTTCAACTGAAGGGGACTTGTTAGCACAAAGGGATCGTGCTAGCAAACTTATACTAGCAGCACAAGGAGTTGTGCTACGTGGGCACAAGGAGTAAGTGCCAAGGAGAAAGCCTGACTCGTCTTACGACGGACTGTAAGCGGGTGGCGCACGGTGCGTGACTAGGGAAAAGTAGTCGGCACGTGACACTTAGCTCTCAAAGAGTGCAATTAATGCTGGGTTTAATGGGCAGCAATCAATGTACACGTGTGTTTGGGAATTTTCTCAATGATGTTCCTTAGAGGGAACATCTCCCTTTTATAGGGTCTTGAAATGTATGCCTAGTACTAGGTTTTCAGAAACCCAGGACTGACTGGGCTTGCCTAGGTATTTGGGCCGTTCCATTTTCCTAGTTGGCAATCTGCTTGCCACGTGTCGTGGCCTGATTGGTCCACCTTGGACCTGTCACGAGGTGACACGTGGCGGGCTTTGGTTGGTCCACGTGGATGACACATGGTAGAGCTCCATTGGTCCACGTGGCATGGAAAAATCCCCTCATCATTTGCCCCTCAAAGGGGTGACGTGGCTTGCCACGTGGCACCTGTGACAGGTGTCACGCTCCGATTGGCTAACAATTTTTTTACCTTTTTTTTTTCTGACCCTTGAAATTCTCCCCCTATAAATAGGGGGTGTCCAAATCATTTTCTTGGACATTCCCAAAAATTCCAGAAAGAATCTTTTGAGAACTTTTTCCTTTTCTCAGAAAGAATGACTGTCGCCTGCATCAGACCGCCTGCTCTTACAACCGTTGTAGATTTTTCAAGCACCTTCATCTTCACCTACTAAAGGTAACCGCCTGTTTTTCTTTTGTGCTTCCTCTTTGTTTCTTTTTTCTTTTTGAAAATGGTTTCCCAAAAGCACACGGCGCGGCCTAGGTTAGTGATCAGTCGGTCACCGGGGACGGCAAAATGTAGAACTAGGAGTGCCGACTGCCCCTTGCTGAATCACCCTTTGCAAACTGCCCCAAGTCTGACTGTCTATGTGTTTATGCAGGACACCATGGCCAGAAACAAAGAGAACCGCAAGGGTGACAAATTCAGACGGCTCTTCCTTCTATGTGTCTGTAAGTGAATTATCTAACGTGCCGCCTGCCCCAAGCACTCCCAGTGATTCCATTTTAGAAGAATCAGGAGAGGAGGTTAAGAATGACATGCCGGGCTTTATTGATCTAGCCCAGCAGGCGGACACCAGGTCCGAGATCTCAAACAGCGACTTTGAGCCAAGTACTTCTAGGAAATTCTCAAATGAATCTGAAGAGAGGCACTCTCGGCTAGAGGCCGCGAGACAGTCCCTCTTAGTAGAATTGGGAGCAGATTAGGCGGAGCCGTCTGCTACCCGCCGAGAGCAATTTTCCGCCTACTACCATCATGTTCTCGCAGGTAGGCGGAAGGTGATGGCTGATAAATTGGGATCTTCAGTGTGGACCATGTCATGGGACATGATTACATTCTATGCATGTCCGATGCTGAAGACACCGTAGTCTGGCCAGAGGGGTATAGCTACAGGGACGAGTGTTTTGGCTGCTATGAGGCGGCTATTAAAGCTGGCCTAAGATATCCTTTACATCCGGCTGTGGAGCGGATCCTAGACGGATACCAGCTGGGTATTTGGCAACTGGCCCCAAATTCTTGGTTCAACATCTTGGGCTATGTTGCCGGCTGCGAGATGCATAAAGTAGACCCTAGCTTTGAAGCATTCGCCCATATGCGTTACCTCAGCCGGACCCCAAAAGCAAGTAGGACCGGCTGGTTTCAGTTGTCTAGCCACAAGGGCTATATGATGACTTTGGGGAAGGAGAGCAAGTGGAAAGATTGAAGAAACACTTTCTACATCATCTCTTGCCCTGACAAGGTCAAGAACAAAAAGTTCAATAGGTGGAACAAGAACCCACCTTTCCTTACAGGCGATTCTGAGCTGCCGCCTTTTCCTTGTAAAGTAAAGAAGAGATCCTTGACAGAGGGCTCTTCAACGTAGATATCCAGGCAAACCCCGAGACTGGGGCGAGGGAGTTCATTCCTCAAAATTATATTCCCAAGTATAACTGGTTATACGATAAGACATATCTGGCCGCCTGTGGCCTTAGTGACGAGATGCCGAGAGGTAGCTGACCGCCTGTTCAAGTGTCTTGTAAAACTTGATTAAGTTTGTGTCAAACTAACTCCTTGACTCATCTTTTGCAGACAAAGCCATGGAAAAGCTCTCGACCTCAAAGAAAGCTGCTGCCCAGCACCGCTCGGCCATCTTGGGCAAGCTGTCAACTGTAGAGTTGCCTGCTTCGCCTAAGGTGAACTTTCAGCTTTGAACAAGTCTCATTTAGCTTTTCTGTCGCTTACATCTTACTTATTGTGGTTATTTTTGTAGGGCAACTTAACAAAGGCTTCCTCCTCCTCACACCCGGATCCTAAAATTAGGAAGTAGACGACTGGTGACATAACAACTCCTGGGAGGGCCAGGAAACACGTGGCCTCAAGGCCAGGGCACAACCAACCTCCAAAATCTCTAGCTGTCCCAGTTAGCAGTCGGCCTGAGAAGGAGAAGGAGAAGCAGGCGGCTGAAGGTACCTAAGACTTGTTTCCTTTCCCTTACCCTTGAGGGTCAAATTCAATCAGCAGTCGTCTAGCACCTCTGAGAGCAGTCGGTCTATTGGCCGAATTTATACCAAGTACTTACAGGGTATTGATTGTGCAGATGTCTCTCAAAGGCCGGATCTTGTCCACCTGGCCAAGTCCATGCTGAAAGCCGTCTCCCTTGAGGACAGGGAGGCGGTCAGAGGAGTCGGCATCCTCAACCTAGATGCCATCCTCGCTCTTCTCGCTGAGGTATACTTGTAAAATAATTTCGTGTCTATATGGTTTGTTAGCCGCCTATATGACGTCTATTTTTGGCTGGGTGCAGTCTATGCTGCGAGTACACGGTCTTTGCAGGCCCATGAGCGAAAAGACCAAAGAGGTAAAGGATGCGAAGGCTCGGGCCGCCTCTGTTTCTGACAAAGCTATGTTCCTGATTGCTTAAAATGAACTTCTGATTACTAACATACTATATTATTAGGCGGCTGCCAACTTGCAGGTCAAAACGGACTTAGATGCGGCAAAGAAGAGGATTTCGGAGCTGGAGTCGTCTGTTAAAGACCTCAAGGCTGAGCTCGAGCCTCTTAGGGAGGCGGACTAAGAAGCAGCTGGCCTCCGCACTAGGGTGGACAAGCTCAAACTCCACCTATAGAACCAGGAGATCCAACTTGCTTAGAAATACCTCTTAAGGGCTAATGAAGAAAAGGAGGCCCTGGTCAAGTAAATGATGGACGACAATAGTGCCATCATGAAGATGACTTGGGGGGCTCTCTTCCCATAGACCAGTTATGAGAACTAGGAGAATCACTTTGCCGCCTCCACCAAGGAATATAATAAAAAAACCTGAACCAAGCCCAAGAGGGTGAGGAAGAAGAGGAGGAGTCATCTGATTCTACTTTAGGGGAGTCGGACCAGGAAGAGGAGAAGGAGGGGGAGGTTGATGAAACAGAGCAGCGGCCGGTTGGGGACCAGAAGGATGCGGCTGCTGATGCTGATGTACCCCCTCCAGCTACTTAAGCTTTCCCTTTTTAAATCAACTTTTCTTTGGCCTGCGTGCCGCATGCTTTGTATCATTACCTGACCAAAGGGTCGGGGTTTGTTGACAATTTTAACATTTTTGTCGGTCTTCTGGCCGACTGTTTATATTAAACATCCGGCAGTTTTGGCCGGTTTCTTCAAATTGTTTATTGTTTTAAATTTTTGCATGCCATGAATTTTGCTAAGTGTATGTAGCCTTCGTTTTCATAAATGCTTTATATACCGACTGTTATAGTCCCTGGGTGACTGACCGCCTTGTTTTTGAAGGTGAGTTGATGTCTTGGAATTTTGATACTTAAAGAGTATGACTAATTTCAAGCTAATCGATCACTATGGTGATTGCCCCAAGCCAGGTGTTCAGTCGGCCATTGCGCAGGCAAAATCATAATATAATCTGGCTCCTAGCCTCTCATTTACTATGTTTTGTACTTAGTTCTTTTATTGGGTATTAACTGGCCGTCAGTTATGGTGCCTGCACAGAAGCATGCGTCAAACGGGATGTCCAACCGAAGTAGCTACACCTGTTGGGTCACATGCGATTGCTTTGGCAATTTAGCCAACCCTTGCAAGAGTAGTGGTCGAGTACCTCTGTTTGCCAAAAAATAGGCGGTCTTGTTCGCACCACTTAGGTTCTGTCACTTTAACTTGAGTGAATAGAAGAAACAGTCGGCCTTGGCTGCATGTTGTCTCTCCATTTGCTAAGTTAGACTTAGCTTTTTGCTCAAATAGCTTGCCAAGTTTAGAACTCAGCTTATGCCGACTGTGTTGTCCCCAGCAATAGCAGGCGGTTTCTGACTTAGATTTTAACTGTCTACCGCTTGTTTGAAGTAAGCGACACGTTTATCTTTGTCTCATGTCAAACGACTGCGAGGTTGGCTTAGAGACATTTGGTAGGGCCGTTTGTTTTAGGTTATAGAGCAATGTGCCACCAGAATGGGAGATGCTCTCTACGACAAATTCACCTAGATGGATGTCGCCGGACGCTTGCTCAAGTTTGGGACAGACGTATTAGTTTAATGTTATTAGGATCATCCGGCCATGAGCTTCAAGTTGATCATCCGGCCATAGGCCTCAAGTTGATCATTCGGACATAGGCCTCAAGTTGATCATCCGGCCATTAGCCTCATTAGGTTGTTCAGAAAAGAACATAGTTGCCAAGTTGTCTAGACTTAGCATTTTTACTCATGTTAGAGTATGTGATTAAAAGAAATAAGGCCGACTTTGTATTGCACAGGCAGCTTTCCCCACTGGGAGGAGACTTACAATATACTGAGTAATAAATTGCAAATTTTATTGATATGCTTTCATGTACAAATAATTTACAAATATCAGAAGTAGTACTTTTTCAAGTTGTCTACGTTCCAAGTTTTGGCTAGCTGCCTGCTGTCTGGAGTTTCCAGGCGGTAGATTCTGCCTCTAACTTCTTCATAGATTCGGTAGGGGCCGTCTCTAACTTCTTCATAGATTCGGTAGGGGCCATCCCAATTAGGAGTCAGTTTTCCCTGCTCGTTGGCCCTACCGACTACTTCCATTTTTCGTAACACGAAGTCCCCTACTATCAGGGGGCGCTTGTGCACTCTTTTATTGTAATCTCTCGTCATTCTCAAACGGTAGAACTCATGACGCAAGGCCGCATTGCCCCTGCGTTCTGGAAGTGAGTCCAATGCTAGCCGCACGGCCTCCCAGTTAGCCTTTCTCACAAAGCATGACTCGAAGAGTCGGCTCATAGTGCTCAATAGGCAAAATAGCTTCAGAACCATAAGTCATGAGAAATGGAGTTTCACCAGTCGCCCCTTTCTCAGTCGTCCTGATGGCCCACAGAACATGCGGTAGCTCCTCAGCCTATAGGCCACTAGCTCTTTTAATTTTCTTTATAATGCCATCGGAGATTAACTTGTTAAAGGCTTCAACTTGGTCGTTTGCTTAGGGACGGTCGACTGATGCAAAACAGTGAGAGATCCCTTGGTCTCCCAACCAATTCTTGAGAGTAGGCGTCTCGAATTGAGGACCGTTGTCAAAGACCATAGACATAGGCACCCCAAACCGGGTGATGACATTTCTCCAGATGAAGGAGATAACATCCTTTGTTTTAATGCCTTTGACCGCCTCCGCCTCTACCCACTTGGTGAAGTAGTTGACAACAACCAAAATGTATCTCTGTCCGCCTGTAGCAGGCGTATACGGACCCATAATGTTAATGCCCCATTTGGCGAATGGTACCGGGGTATGGACAGCCGTCAGGTTAGTGGCCGGACGATGGATGAGCTTGCCAAATCTTTGACACTTGTCACAGTTTTTCACCATCTCCATGGCGTCTACTTTTAGGGTAGGCCAGAAGTAGCCTTGCCGCCTGACTCTTTTTGCTAGGGTCCTGCCGCCTTTGTGGGAGGTGCAGAAGCTCGAGTGCAAGTCTTCTAGGACCTCTCGTCCCTTCTCTAGGGTAACACATTTCAAAAAAGGTTGGAGATAGCCTTTCTTGAAGAGCTCTCCATTGTGGATTTAAAAATTAGCCGCACGTTTTTTCATTGCGACCATCTCTGGGTAGGTATTCGGCAAGGTCCCGTCTGTTAAGTAAGTCCGGATGCCATCCATCCACGTTGAGCTTCGATCTAGGGTTCCAATGGGTTCCTCTTTGATGCTCCTTTTTTCCATCACTTCCCAGAACACTGACCTAGGTGTGTCACAAGAGGTGGATGATGCAAGTTTGGATAGAGCATCCGCATAATTGTTCTCGGATATGGGCATCTAACTTAGATGAAATTCATCAAGGGTCCAAGCCTCCTCTTTGACCGCCTGTAAATATTTGATCATAGTCGGGTGTGTGGCTTCATAGTCACCATGGTATTAGCTAACAATCAATTGTGAATCAAAACAGGCGTCAACTTTCTTTGCCCCAGCCGCCTTACACATGCGGATGCCGGCTAGTAGGGCTTCATACTCTGCCTCGTTATTTGAGGCTTGGAACTTGACCTGTAGTGCATGCTCATACTTGTCTCCTTTAGGAGACTAACATATGACGCTTGCACCCTAACCGTTAAGGGTGGAGCTCCCGTCCACATATACCTTCCAAACCCGTTCAAGGTTTTCAAGATCACCCGGCTTGGTCATTTCAACAATGAAGTTAACAAACGCTTGCCCCTTCACTGCTTTCCTTGGCTCAAAAGTTATTTCAAGGCTTTGAATCTCAATCGCCCATTTGATCATCCGACCGGATGATTCCATGGTTGTTAGTGGCCACTTGATTGGCTGGTCAGTGTAGACCACGACCGGATGCGCTAAGAAGTAAGGTTTCAACTTCTTAACTGCCATGAAGAGGGCAAGTCCATATTTTTCAACCATGGGGTAACTCAGCTCTGCATTTCGTAGAACATAACTGATGAAATAGATACGGAACTGGGTGCCTCCTTTTTCAGTAAGGAGAACAGCACTGAGCGCATGGTCAGAGACAGCCATGAAAGGAATGGTGTCCTTCCAACAAGTGTATTATTCCAATAGAGGGTTCAGAATTATTGGATAGCTAATTCTTCAGTAAGGTCAAGTGATCGGAATGCCTGGGTGGAGGCCGCTTCCGATCAGTAATATTAATGTACAATTAATATTACAGATTAATCTCGACTGAACCCTTCGGGTCGAACCCAATCGATCAAACGATTCGAGACGACGAATCAATCCGAAGGATTTGATGAGTCGTCGGAGTTTTACGAACAAAGACGTCGGATATCGAGCTTAGAGCGTCAAGATCGAGCGTCGCAAGTTGAGTCGAGTTTAGAATTCGACGAGACGCGAAATCAATCAAGTTACAAGTACGAGCCTAGCCGTAGCCTCGCATTGGCCTAACCATGTGAATGCTAGGCTTAGCAAGACCCATTGCAAGCCTAGCATGCTAGGCCCTTGCGTGTGTGCTAGCGGGCCATGCGCCCAAGCATCGCAAGGCTAGGCCTTACTAGCATGCTAGGCGCTGGCGCTAGGCAAGGCCTAACACTGCTCGTCGCACCATCGCAGCAGCATGCGTGTGCATGTGCCTCGCTAGCACAGCACCAAGCAGCAGCAGCTTGTGCGTGTGCGTGTGCCTCGCTAGCACAGCACCAGGCAGCAGCGTGTGCGTGTGCGTATGCGTGTGCCTCGCTAGCACAGCACTAGGCAGCAGCGATGATGCATGTGCGTGTGCCTAGCATTGCAGCGCCCAGCACAACGCACCTAGCAGTAGCGCCCAGCATGTGTGGCTCACTAGAAGCACGCATGCTGGCTGTGTGGGGTGCTTGTTGGCTGGCTGCGATATGTGCGTGTGTGTGCTGGCTAGTTGCCCGGCCTTGATGCTAGGCGCCAGCTGGCAGCCTTGGTAGTCAAGGCAGGCTGCCAGCCAGCCACATGGAGGATGCTGGTTTTGACTAAGTGGGGACCAAGGGTTGTGGGCATTGCCTTGGGAACCAAGGCTATGGTCCCCCCCTTGAAATGGTCCTCACCTAATCTCTCTTCCTCCTTGTGCCACTTGTAACTTATTAATTGCATTGCAATTTTATTTTTGTTTTAATTAAAATAAAATGTGAAAATTGCAAATCTCCC